AACTAGTTTGTTCTATGTACAGTAGAGGCTACCTGTCAATAAGGTATCCTAATATCCTGTTTCCCAAATGGTCTCCATTTTTAACAGACCCGACTTCTGGAGTCTAGGATTTATGACTAGGGGTGGAGCACAATGGAGGTGCAACAGGACGGGTCACAGATTCTAATCACAAAGTTCCTCCATGGCCATTTTTCTACATGATGCTTACTGGAGCTAATAGGTACTGAGAGGAAGCTGCTTTTAACACATTGTTATTATAATTCTGGGTTAAGCGGGCTTGTCTCTGTGCCTGACAGTTCTTCTCAGAAGTGGTGGGAATGGGAGACTTTATCAATCTGCAAAATATTCTCTGAAAATGGTGCCCTGGCTTTATTAAAGTGTCACACGAGGATGTACATTTGTTTCTGTGCACATAATTTCCTCCTCTGCCTGATTTCTTTTATTATAGTAAAATATCCATAACATAAAACTTACCCTCATTTTTAAGTGTATAATTAAGCAGCGTTAAGTTCATTCACAATGTTGTGCAGCTATCACCGATATCCATTCCCAGAACTCTTTTATCATCCCACATGGAAACGTCATGCCCAGTGAAGAGTAATTCCCATTCCCTCTTCCCTGCCAGCCCCCGGCAACCACTTTTGGTCTCTGTGAATCTGCCTATCCTAGATACCTCATTTAAGTGGGATTACACAATAATTGTCTTTTTGTGTCTAGCTTATTTCAGTTAGCATGCTTTTAACTTTCATCTATGTTGTAGCATGTATCAGAATTATATTTTTTTAGGCTGAATAATATTACATTGCATATATATACACACACACACACACACACACACACACATACATATATATTATGCACACACATACTACATTTTCTTTATCCATTCAACTGTTGATGAACATTTGGGCTGTATCCACATTCTGGCTATCGCATATAATGTTGCTGTGAACACTGATGTACAAATATCTGTTGGAGTTCGTGCTTTCAATTCTTTTGGGTATATCTGAGAAGTGCAGTTGCTGAATCATATGGTAATTCTATGCTTAACTTTTTTACAAAAGTTTCTTATTGAAGTGTAGTTGATTTACAATGTTAGTTTCAGGTGTTACGTTTAATTTTTTGAGCAACTACCATACTGTGTTCCCTAGTGGCTACATCATTTTATATTTCCATCAGCAATGACCAAGGTTTCCAATTTTTCCACATTCTCAACAACACTTGTTAATTTTTCTTTTTTCTTTTTTTTGATAAACAGCCATCTTAATGTATATGATGTGCCCAGTTTGTGACTTTTCTTGCAGTTTATAGGGTTTATAGAGTTCCAATGCTGAAGTATGTGTTCCTTTCTTCTTTTTTCTTCCTCATAAATTGCCTCATGAAACATCTACTATTTCTTGAATACCCACTTAAATAATATTTGATCATTGAACGTTACCTCATTTTAGGTCACTTTCCCTTCCTATTACCTTGAGGATCATGATGTAACTCAAGATAATTATCAAACATTCATTTGAATAGGAAAATATGTTCTATTCCAACAGTCAGGTAAGAGAAAAATTAAATACTATGAGGGAAATCATGGAGAGACAGAGCACTAAGAAGCCTAGGAAAAATATCCAACTAACACTACACCTTTATACCTAATATTTTAATAAGTCAGAACTACTAAAAGAATAAATGTGATGCTAACTTTATGCTTGGTACTATAATAATAAAAATAGCTTAGCTTTTTTTCCTTAGCCATAATGAAGGAGGATTAATAAAACGGCTGCACTTAGGCTAACAGATTGCTTATTCTTATGCTTGCCCTTGGAACGGTCAACAAACCTGACCAACCAGTTGCTACTCACAGCTCCAGGCCCACTGTTAAAACTAAAGCTATTGATCTTACTGTTTCTACTTTATTCCAGTAATCGAAAGCAATAATCATGCTC